AATACCTTGGCCAGGCAGGAATCCTCAGACTCTACCAGACAAATGGTTGGACAACCATTTGTTTGATAACCATCAGTGATGGATCACCTACAGATCCAGGAGGCAGGCTGTTCTTTGACTTGATAGCTCTCATGGTCAGGAAATTCTTCCATATTTCAAGATTTAGTCTGAAAGCTTCAGCCTCCTAGGTTTTGTCATACCCTCAGATGTTACGGAGAATAAATTCACACCCTCTTTCCTAGGACAGTCCTTCAGATATTAGAAAACCGATATCATATCTCCTTTTAGCATTATCATCTTTGGGTTAACCTTACACAGTTCCTTTAATCCAGGGGCTCTTAGTCTGGAGTCCATGAATACCTCAGGATCTGTGGCTGAATTTCAGGGGTTCACAAAGTTGGTTGGGGGGGAAATTGTATTTTTACTTTTTTATTTTAATATGTTAACCAATCATTAAGCGGGTGACCACATCCAATTTTACAACCTTTTTTGCAATGTTTGTTAAGCAGACACAATGGTCAGAATGTGAATACTGCAGCTGTTGAGTGAACTCATTGTCTGCAATGTGCGTTTTTTTCCCCAAAAAACTGGAAGTAAATGCCAGTTTCCAGCAAAAAAAAAAAGTCATAAATCACTGTCACGTGACTGTGGGATGCTGTAACGAGCTATAAGTGCAGGTCAAAATGTGAACACATGACTATGGGGTGGGGGGGGCACTGGAACTTTGAATCTGGGTTGTAAAGTACATAAGATTTTTTAAAGTCCATCATTAAGTTCGAATGGTTGTAAGTGACGTTCAAGGCTAAGAACTACCTGTATATGTCAATGTGCGGGATCTCTCACTGCAAAGCACCAGCAAGAGTTCAAATTGAGATCTGAAGAGGCAAAACATATCAAATGTATATATTCTTTTCTCAGTCATAGAAACCTCTTTCGGACAACTGTAATATATTACACACTGCATTGAGAGTTATCTTATTTGAGTTAAACTATATAGTTCAATAAGTTGGTAACATTTGAAATGTCCTGAATTTGAGATGTGTTTATTTTTATTCTCTTCTTTAACTTTAACGAAACACGCAAAAAAAGATACTCACATATTTCTGGAACATATTATCTGTCTTTCCAACAGTTATGTTATTGACCACTATCTCTGCTACTGTATCTACCCCGTCAAAAGCCAAAGTCACTTTTTGCCACATGCTGCAGAAAAGATAACAAAAAATAGAATTTTGAATTATTTTATTCATTATATTTACATTCCTTCTTTACAATTCTAACCCCACTCCCAAATTCTATCATTACAACAAGTCTGTGAAATAGGTTAGGTTGCCACATAGAAGAGGGAGTCAAGCTATTATTCAAAGCACCTGAAGGCAGGACAAGAAGCAACAGATGGAAACTAATCAAGGAGAGAAGCAACCTAGAACTAAGGAGAAACTTCCTGACAGTTAGAACAATTAACCAGTGGAACAACCTGCCTCCAGAAGCTGTGAATGCTCCAACACTGGAAGTTTTTAAGAGGAGACTGGACTGAAATGGTATAGAGTTTTCTGCCTGAGCAGGGGGTTGGACTAGATGACCTCCAAGGTCCCTTCCAACATCATCATTATTGTTGTTGTTGTTGTTGTTGTTATGATAATGATGATGTACCTGGATCAGCAATTCTCTTGTTCAAAGGTGTGTGCTGCTGTATTCAGGGGGGTTTATTCTTAGATAAATGCATACAAATGTGCAGTCTAAACTTTAGTAATCTTAAATTCAATTTTATCACATACCTGATATTAAAAGGAGCTTTGAATGTTCTGCTATATGTCCAGTTATCCAAGGAGATCCATCTGTAGGCCAGATCATTAAATCTATAGTAGGGATCCTACAAACCAGCCACATGAAACAAAGAAACAAACAAAAGCTTAAAATTGAGTGATAAAATAAATTATATAAAGACATTTTAAATGATATTGGCATCGGAAATTACAAACAACTATTAACTTTAATGCCTGATTGCTTTTGCTCATACCTGTTGGTAAATAAAAGAGAGGCTTCATATCCAGTTGATTCATTAGATTAAGACATTTCACAAAATTATAATTTATTTATTTCTCCCCAAAGTAGTGGACAATACTATAAAAATAAAATAAAAATAAAAAACTAATGCTAAATAATAAGGCAAAATAAACAGTATGTAAACCAGTAAAATCCCACAATCAGAGATTAGACATGGTAAAACAGAATGAAAATGCAAACAGGAAAAGCAGANATCCAGATAAACATGCAGAGGATTGTTCTGTCTGATATTTACAGAAACAAGATTCACTGGTCTTTTAAATACATTTCTAGCCATTATGACTGAACTGAATAAAAGCTGTTGGGAATTATCCTCTAATAATCCTCAAATAGATCCCATCGTTTTATTAGGTAACACTTCCCAGAAATTGTCAGGGCAGCTTGAATAATATCAATAGTTTGGAACAGGGGGAACAGCAAATGCATACAAAACTGCTTGGCCAAGATTCTTACAAGTGTGCCAGTGTCTTCTGGGACTTTGCAGAGTCAGTTTGCATCTTTTCTCATTGTTGAAATTCTCTAGTGGAACTTGGTCATAAAGCACCATTCATGAAAGGAATAGGAGTTGGATAATTGTTTTAATCCATTCTATTTCAATTACACCAGCTAGGAACAGTTTACAGCTGACTTTTGCTGGCATGGATTATATGAACTCTCTTGTTCTCTATTATTATTTTGTTATCATTGGTGCTAAATAATCTTTTCATTTTACTGAAAACTCTCCATTTCTGTTTCCAAATACTGTATGTCTCAATAAAGTGTGTTATATACTGTAAGTGAGCTTTAAATAAAGGAATTTTTTTTTAATATTAACTATGTAGAGCAGGCATGTCAAACTCACGATGTCACGTGATGTCGCACGACGTATCGGGACTTTTTCCCCATTGCCGGCAATGGGGTGGGCGCTGTTTCAGTGTGACACATCCGGCCCGTGGGCTGGTAGTTTGACATGCCTGATGTAGAGTATTAGAAAAGGAAAATAAAAATCTATCAGCTACAACTACATCATGAATTCTGCAAATATATTTCCTGTCATAATCTAACGTATGCAATTCTATATTTTACTTTTAAGATACGAATAACAGACTATAAAATGTGCTTATTTTCTTACTTCTAAAAAGGAATCACAGCTATATTTAAAGTTCATAGTTGGGCATACCATAACTACAATCAACTAAAATAAAGATAGTCCTTGTTTAACAACCACAATTGGAACAGGCCACTCTGTCACTAAGCAATTATTAAGCAAATTATTAAGCAAATTATTATGATGGTCATTAAGCAAATCACCCAGTTATTATGCAAGACATCAGTGGCTACAACTTGCAATTTCACTACTGGCTTCTCCATCGACTTGTTGGAAGCTGGTTGTGAAGCACTCAAATGTTGATCATATGACCATGTGGATGATGTGACAATCATTAGCACAAGGACTAGTCATAAAAGTTACTTTTTCAATACCAGCATAACTTAGACTGCTCATTAAACAGAGCAGTCATTTAGCAAGGGCTACCTGTAACAAAGAAGTCAAGGTACATCTCATTGCTTAACCTTGGCTGGACCTATGAAAGTATCACTTGATTATAGATTATTAATAGATATATTTAAATGACGTTCAGTTACCAAACAAGGATAGGGTAGGGTTCACTTCCTCTGATCATCATTATTATAACCTACATGCACACAGCAGTATTACCTTTCTGATGAAATTCACGTGACATTCTCCTTTTTGCACAGGTGGAGGACATTCTGGAGGCACTTTGTATGCTTGGTGATTTTTATTCTGTTGGGCAGCATACAAAATAGCAGACAAAAACTGGACTTGGACTGTGTTGATCTCCTTGATCACATTAGTAACATCAAATTTCTATGTAGACCAACAAAGAGAGAAAGGTTGATTATAGACAGATTAATTCATTAGTCTGGTGCACAGAATCATCTGTATATTGGTTCCATTATGTGTACTAGGATTCTTCTGTTTATAGATGTATACCACGTATGTGGGCACTGTTAAGAAATATGCATGATTTGCTATATGATTATCTTCACATTTCTCCAAAGGAAAGGAACTCCAAGGAAAGATTTTTCTGCATCGAGCATAGCAAACCTTCTGGATAATAGCAGCTGCTGATTTTGCAGTGATATTACCAGAAGAGGTGCTTTTCAAGCAATGCTAAGCTTTCTGCAGAGGTGGTTTAAAGAAGGTAATGAGAGGTAATGTGAGACTAGGCCAAAAATACTCATTTGATGCAGAAATAAGAAGAGGGGTCAGACAGGGATGTATTCTGTCTCCACTGTTGTTCAATATCTACTCTGAGTCAATCTTCAACGAGGCACTGGAGAACATCGATGTTGGCATCAAAGTAAATGGTGTTTGGATCAACAAGATATGCTGATGATACAGTTCTGCTTGCCAGTAAGCATGAAGGCCTTCAGCTCCTCATCAACAGAGTCACAGAAATATCTGAAAAAATACGGCTTGAAGCTTAACACCTCAAAAACCAAGATCATGGTCATCAGCAAACAACCCGTTAATTTACCACCAATAAATTCAGAAGGAATACCACTAGAAAAAGTTGAAAGGATCACACACATCGGTTCCAATTTACATGAAAGCTGGGACATGACCACTGAAGTAAAGACAAGGATAGAGAAAGCTCGAACAGCATTCTTCAAAATGAAAAAGGTCTTCTGCAGTCACGACATAAGCCTAAGACTGAAAATCAGGCTTGTCAGATGCTATATTTTTTCTATCCTGCTCTATGGAGTAGTGAGTTGGTCTCTGACAGAAGGCCACCTGAAGAGACTAGAAGCATTTGAAATGTGGATTTACAGGCGGCTGTTACGTATAAGCTGGGTTGACAAGATCAGAAATGAGGAGGTGATAAGCCGCCTGGGAAAGCCAAGGGAAACCATCAAAACAATTAAAAAACGAAAATTAGAATATTTCAGACATGTGATGCGACACCCAGAAAAATACGGCATACTCCATTTAATCGTCCAGGGAAAGATTGAAGGCAAATGAGGTCCAGGCAGAAGAAGAACATCGTGGCTTCAAAATCTAAGGGATTGGTTTGGACAAAACTCAGCAGCACTTTTTCGTGCGGCTGCTGATAAAAACATGATCGCCAACGTCCGATAATGGATATGGCATAAGAAGAATGAGAGGTTTTTTGCCTCACAGATGCCTTGTGCTCCCATTTCTATGCTCTTGTTATACTGTTGAAACACAAGAGGTACGGCACCTAAGAGCTGTTCCTAACACTGGGTTACCCCATCTTATTGATGACCCAGATAGTCATTGACTGGCTTACTCATTTCATGATGTTGTTGTGGAACATCAAATTAATCTGCAATAAAACATCTGGACCAGTGGTTCTCAACCTTTTTAATGCCACGACCCCAACCGGTCGTAAGTCGAGGACTAAACCGGTCGTAAATCGAGGACTAAACCAGTCGTAAGTTGAGGACTACCCAACCGGTCGTAAGTCGAGGACTTTCCCTGCCCGGGAGCGCCGCGCATGCGTGGTTCCGCCCCCTGCGCCAGCCGAGGCGTAGCTGGCAAGCGGCAGAGACGGAGCAGGCCGACCACCAGCTGGCCCAGCCCAAGGGAGGTAAGGCACCCGCCGGAAAAGGGGAAAAAATGGCGGACAAAAAAAATGGCGGACAGCCTTGCTTGGCGACCCCCATGAAATGGTCGATCGACCCCAAATGGGGTCCCGACCCACAGGTTGAGAACCACTGA